AGCCAGACTAATGAGAAAAAAATCAGAAAGGTCTTCAACTACCAATATTAGGAATAAAAGTGGTGAGGTCACTACAACTTCTGTAGATTGTAAAGGACATTAAGAGAATATTATGAACAACTTTATGGCAATAATGCAACAGTTCAGATGAAATGGACGAACTCTTTGAAAATAACAATCTACCAAAATCACTCACAAATAAGCAACCCGAATAATTCTATATTCATTAGATAATTTAAATTATAGTTACAAACCTTCATGAACACATACACACACACAGACACATACACACAAAAAATCCAGTCCCAGATTACTTTACTTGTGAATTTCTCCCAACATTTAATGAAGAAGTAATACATTTTTCCAGAAAAAGAAAGAGGAGAAAATACATCTCACCTCATTTTATGAGGCCAGTATTACTCTGATAACAATACCAGACAAGGGGTATTACTAGAAAAGAAAATTATAGATCAATATCCCTCATGAACATAGATGCAAAAATTCTTCACAAAGCCATATCAAATCAAATCCAACCATTTTATTAAAAGATTATACATTATCACTAACTGAGATTAATCCCAGGAATGTAGGTTTGTTTAATGTTTGAAAATGATTAATGCGTTTACCATATTAACAAACTAAAGCAGCAACCATTTAATCACCTCAGCTGATGCAGAAAAATAATTTGACAAAATAAGGCATCTATTTCTTTTTTAAAAAATTCTAAGCATACTAGAGTAGAAGGGAACTTCACCACCTGATAACTATAAAACCCTATTTTTTAAAAATTACAGCTAAGCGCATAGTTAGTAAAAGACTGAATGCTGACTTCTTAAGATCAAAAACAAGACAAGGATGTTTGTTTTCATCACTTTCATTAAGCATTCTGCTGGAGATGCTAGCCAGTGCAATAGGCAAGAAAAAAAATGACAATCCAGATTAGAAAATAAGTACCATTGTCTTTATTCACAGATGCCATGGAAGTCTAAGCATAAAATTTAATGGTACCTATCCAAAAAGTTACTATGGTCCAGGCATGGTGGTTCACACCTGTAAACCCAATACTTTGAGAGGCAGAGAATTATCTGAGCCCAGGGATTCGAGACCAGCCTGGGCAACTTGGCAAGACCTTGCCTCTACAATAAATAAAAAAAATTAGCCAACTGTGGTGGCACATACCTGTAGTTCCAGCTACTGGGAGGGGTGAGGTGGAAGGATTGCCTGAGTCTAGCAGTTCAAGGCTGTGGAAGCTGTGAGTATGCCACTGCACTCTGGCATGGGTGACAGAGTGAGACTCCAACTCAAAAAAAAGTTACTAGGATTAATAAATCACTTTATCGGTATCATAGGATATGATATCAATAGTGAAAATTATTAATTTTATACATTAGCAAAGATAAATTGGAAGTTGAAGTTAAAAGAATAAAATTTACAATAGCATCAAAAATATTAAAGGCCTATGGACTGAATATAACTAAGAGAAATTAAAGAAGACCTAAATAAATCAAGAGATATATTATGATCATGGATCAGAAGATTCAATATTCTTATAATGATCATTTTAACATATTGATCTATAAGTCAATAAAATCTCAGAAAAAATTCTTTTTTCTAAGTATTGACAAGTATATTTTAGAAATCATATGGAATTGAAAAGAAGAAAAACGTAAGAAAAGTTACACTACCTGACTTTAATACTTACCATAAAGCTATAGTAATCAGATAGTATGATGTTGGTATCAATGTTAATAAACAGATCATTAGTTTAGATTATAGAACCCAGATGTAGAACCAGACATATATGGTCAAATGCTCTCTGACAAAAGTACAAAAGTCTTTCGACATCTATTTAACGAAGATTTCATTTTTTTGGTAATTGAATATCCCTGTGCAAAAAAAAAATAAACTTCAGTCTGTATCTTGCACCATATTCCCAATTAACTCAAAATAGATCATAGACCTAAAATATGAAACATGTACAAAATATATAAGAAATCCTTGTGACTTTGAGTAAAACAAAGATTCTTAGCCAAAAGCATGGTCCTCAAAGGAAAAATGTAATAAATTAAACTTTATTAAATTGAGAACTTCTACCTTTCAAAAAACACTTTTAAGAAAAATGAAAAGACAACCATAAATTAACAGAATATATTTCCAAATTATATAGCTGATGAAGGACTTGTATCCAGATTATGCATAAATATCTTTCAAAACTCTAATAAGAGCAATGATCCAATAAAAATTGAGCAAAAGATTTAAATAGCTATTTCACCAAAAAAGATGGAAAATAATCCTTGAAAAATGCTCGACATTATTAGTCATCAGGAAAATGCAAATAATTAAAACCAAAATGATGACTTAATGCAATGTCTAAAATGTTTAAAGACCAACTATATCAAATATTAGCAAAGATGTGGACAAATGGAGCTCTTGTACTGCTGGTGGGAATTTAAATAGTACAAACTTTGAAAGAAAGATTGACTGTTTCTTATAAACTTAAACATACACTTACCGTATGATACAGCAACTCTACTTCTCGGTATTGATCTCAAGAGAAATTATGGAATATGTTCATGCCAAAATTTGTACATAAGTGTGTACATATTTATATGATGAAATACTACCTACCAGTTTAAAAAGAGGGCTCAAAAATGTATACACATACAACATGAATAAATGTCAAAATTATGCTGCATGTAAGAAGCTAGAAGGAAAAAGTGTACATACTGCATAATTCCATTTATATAAAGTTCTATAAAATGCAAATCTGTAATAATAGAAAGTAGACTAATGCATGTCTTGAGAGGGAGGGAAGAAAAGGAGAGACAGAAAGGAAGTTACAAAGTAATGATGGACTTGTTCTCTACCTTGATTGTGGTGATGGTCTCACGGGTATACATATATCAACACTTATTCAATTACAAATTTTAAGCATGTTCAGTTTATTTATGCCAGTTATACCTCAACATAGCTGCTGAAAATTATTTAAAAGTGGAAACAATTCATATCACTCATCCTTGGTTATAGTCCGTCCACAATTTCCACAACTCAGACTTCAACCTCTTTCAGTGTTGCTTGGCCTGTCTTCCTCTTTTCTCTCCCACCTGTTCCTTTTATTTCCTGATGAACAGCAGGTCAACCCTCTCCCCTTCCTTTGCACAACCAAGGTTAGCTTTAAAATTATGATTTTTAAATGCTTGCTATATTATAGTCTTCTAAAAAGGCATTGACATCCCAAGGCTATGGGCAAAGGTGTTTTCTTTTTTCTTTCATTCATTTCTTTCTTATTTTCTAGTTTCATCTAGTCTTATAAATGACTCATAGCATCTTGATCATTCAGGATCAGCATTATCAACCTTGTTATCTTACTTCAATAATGTTGGCATTTACTGAGACCAACTTCATCCTTATGCATTTTACTTCTCTCCAAATTAACTTAGACTACTGAGCATTAAAAATTCTTCTCTCTACTTTCTAGCATTTTCTCTTCTCTTTCCTCATTGTCAGACAGATTGTCAGCTGTCATTTCTGCTGTTTTCATGTGTCTATTTAGAGAATCCTCACGCCTTCCTTCACTGTAATTTCCTATCTCTAATCTGTTTTGATTCAGAAAACTTATAACCAAGGGAGAAAGAACAGTTTATAAATTTGAAACAAATATAGAATCTGAGTGGGTAACCTGAAGCTTCCTTTTTGAGTGAAGTGCATTGCATTTGTACCATTAATTTTGACACACTTTTTTTCCAAGATAAATGACACTTACGTGATGGTATTGTATCTAATTCCCAAGAGAGACTGTAGTACTAAAAATTTCTGTGTTCTCAATGGCAGACATCATCAGTTTTCCATAGGAAGGTAGTCTTTTGCAAGAACTGTGCACAATGCCCCCTTTTATTTAGATAGATATTTATTTAGATAGATAGATATTCACATCCTTTTGTGAATATCATAGTGTTGTATGATCAATCTGTTCTATGAGCAATAGATTACTTAGAATCTTAGAATGCTGTTGCTGTAATAACACATTAAAATAATTTGGTCACATCAGTACCAACTTCTGTAATATTTCCTAGCTTAATGTTCAAACAATGCGACTGATGAAAATAATGTAACCAAGACACTGCAGATATCTCTAAAGAACGTTAGATTTATTATTTCAACAGCAAGTCTTTAGCATTCTCCAGCCTTTCTTGCACTCTGCAGTACTTTTCCAATTTAAAATGTGCACATAAGAGCCTATTTGATTTATCTTTTGGTGTACATGAATTATGTAATGATTTCTTGGGAGCAAACACTGTTAAAATGGGTAACAAGACATTCAAGTTAAACATTCCTTTTACCATATCATTTTATTATCTTCGTGTCACCTTTTTTGAAAAAATCTAAGCCTAAACAAATATATCTTTTCTTGGAGATAGTCATGACTCAGAGATTGTCATTTAGAAGACTGTGTTTTGCCATACTACTTTGAGATACATTTGGAAAAGATCAATGCTCCTTCTCTTTTCAACACTTAGGGGAATACAGGAAGTGCCCCTCATTTACTGCACAACTAGAGTGAAAAGTGCTTAGAGATCAAATCAGGAGATGTTTTTAGCTCTTAATTTGTTTGACTTCTGCAGCAATTGGTGATACTGACCAGTTATGTCCATGCAGCTCAGCCAACCATCATGTGCTGGGTGAATCCTGTGTCTCTTAATTTCCATAATGTCTTACTCCCCTAATTTCTCCTTTTTCTCTCTGGAATCTCAGTCATCTTGCAAGAATCACTTTCTCTACCCACCCCTTACACACCCCTAGGCTTCTGTTCCAGGCCTTCTTATCATCCCTCAGTAAACACTCTTCACTTTAATTACCAAATATGTGCTAATAATTTACAATTCTCAATCTGCATCCCAGAATTATTTCCTGAAAGTAATCTCTGTGTACCAACTTCCTTTCTTCCAATACTTCATTATTTTCTGGCTTTAGGTATGTGACACTTGTTTCTTTGTCCACAGGCAACAGGTCCTCGGGGTTTATTAAGGGAAGATGCTAAAGGTTCTCTTCAGAAGAGCTTCGGGATTCTTAATGAAGCCAAGAAGTTAGCTAATGATTTGAAAGGTTAGTGTGAGCATTGTTTTTATTATGTTCTGGTTAATTGGGCTGTGATTGGTAAGATATTTATCATACTATTGGAGAGTATGCTAAATCATGATTCATGCTTCAGCATGATTTTTATGATCATTCTATAACTGGATTTAATGCACGTACTCTTTCTCACCAGTTTTACAAAATTTTGTCTTCATATCTCATTTTGATTGGATAATATTTCATAATTTTTAGATCCAATTTCTATAGCATCACTTCACCTATATCTAAAGTAGGACAGTTTTTAAAAGTACCAAACTCCACTTTCTTTTTAAAAATACCAAAACCCACTTTCAGAAGTGAAAGTTACAATGGAATTAATTAGGTAGATATGGTATAAATGTCTTGGTGAAAGTTGCAATTTGTTAGTGAGTGTCATTTCCTGAAACGTTTCCAAATAATTTAAATACTTTTTAAAAACTTATTTCTAATTCAAGGATCAAAGTATATGAAATATCTACCCCAATATATTTTGAGTTTCATGTTAAGAATATATTAGTAAATATGGCTGCTTTCTATACATGTTGTTATATTTCTGACTGTATCCATCTCCCCAATCTTAACTAAGTATTCATGGTCCCTCCAAAACATGCAACTACTTTGAGACTCTATGTTTTCCAAGTGTTATTTCTTTTCCCTAGAATGCCTTATCCCGCATCTCCCTTCCTACATAACTACCTTCTCCCAGACCTAGATTTAACTCAAATGTCATCTTTTCCAGGAAACTTACTACCTCATCTGACTCACGTGCTCCCCTCTCTGGATATACCTTTGTCATAAACTTGCCAAACCCTTACAATCATGGAATATTTACTATTCCATCTTTTTTACTTTTATATATTTTTAATTTTTATTGATACAGAATGAATGTATATCTTTTCAAGATTCCATTTTCTTGAGAAAGAAATCCTTGAGATACAGGGCCTTTTAAACTTTGTATTTCTAGTATGTATCCTAGTGACCAGCTCAAATTAGGAAATAATTCTTCTTCTAAATAAATGATGTTGGTTTTTAGTTACCTTACTTATCTGAGAGGTTTAACATCATTTCTATTTGGCATACTTTAGTCTCCGATAGAGGATGATATGGAATCGCAAGTTCTCTCTCCATTATAAATGGCACTTTGATAATTCAGTGCTTTGGACTGGGAATTACAGGTGAAATAAAACCCCATACCGATATATTCTGTGTAGGAGGTAGTTTTTATTACAGTCTGAAGAGTGACTATAGAGCGCCGAAACCCACTTTTCTACTGGTCAAATGGACTTGGTCCCATTACCTTGTGGTCGCCCCCTCCTGTTTAGTTCTCTTGCCCAGGGATGCGACTCCCATAAGGTGGCTGAGGTGAGTGGTGCCAGTGAAAAGGCGGAGCCTGTCTATGAGATTTTAGTACTCTATTTGTCATGTACCTTGATTATTGTACTCATTTTGATTTTTAAAAACATTGCATTGGTCAGGCTCGGTGGCTCAGCCTGTCATCCCAGCACTTTGGGAAGCCGAGGCGAGTGGATGGCCTGAGCCCACGGGTTCGAGACCAACCCAGGCAACTTGGCGAGACTTCGTCTCTACAATAAATCAAAAATGAGCCGGGCGTGGTAGCACATGACTGTAGTTCCGGCTCCTTGGAAGGCTAAGGCAGAACGATCGCCCGAGCCCAGCATGTCGAGTCTGCAGTGGCCATGAACGTGTCACTGCACTCCAGTCTGGGCGACAGAGTGAAACTCCAACTCAAAATATACATATATATATTTCATTAAGTATATATTATAAATATATATATATATTTATATATATATGTATAGCATTAAAATATTTGAATCCTGACTACAGAGTTTTGGGTTCTCCTGTAAATTTCCTTTCTTTTTTTTAAAATATTTTTTTAATTATAAAGATGTGGGGTACAATTCAGGGCTAGGTATACAAACGTTGATTATGAGGTGTGCCCCTCCCTCCCCAGCAGTTTCCCTCAACTGCCAATCCCACCCTCCCTCCCCTGACTGTTTCCCACTATTGCCAGTCCCTTTCTTATAGTATTATAATTGTTCAAGATCCGTTTCTGAGTGAGAGAACATATGGTACTCTGTTCTTTGTTTCTGTGATAGATCACTGAGTATGATCGTCTCTAAATCCATCCAAATTGCTGCGAAGTCCATATGTTTGTCCTTCTTTATCCCGTAAATTTTACACCCTGGCTGAGTGCCTTCTTTACCTTATCCAACTCCCTGCCCTGCCCTGCCCTTGTCTCTGTTTTACCGGTGTTAGAAAATGAAGATAGAACTCCATTTTTCGGCACTTTTTTCTTCCAAGAGCAAAAGAAATAAGGACAGACATGGTAGAAGGGGTTAAGAGACAGAAATGTTCATTAGTTTAAATGTCTTTTTTTGTAGTTCAGGTAGTACATTATTTAAAGTAATGAAAACCCACAACCTACTCAAGTAATAATTCCTGCAGAAAACCAAGCCAAGGCTATGACGGAGATGGGAATGTTTTCTTGCTACATTATGACATTCCCCTGATTTGTGGCCAATTACACAGGTTATAAAATGGCTGTTAATCAGGGAAATGCCATATATTACCACCAGGAACTGCTGAAATAGACCCTACAGAGCAAAACTCTTGACAGCAGCTATTAAAATAGAGATTTAGTCATTTCTCTCTCTATGGTGCCTGGAGTTAGAAGGAATAAAAATGGTGGGGCCAGCATACCCTCCATATTTCTCATTTGTTGCTCGGTTCAATTCCGTACAGTTCAGTTAGTTTGTGAGCTTTAGTCATGAATGACTTAGTACTGCTCCCTGCCATTTTTATGCTGTCCTTGCCTTGAGGGAGTCTGAACTTGCCAGGAGCAATTTGTTTTGCTTTTTAATTTTTGAATATACATCTGTTAAAAGTACATTTGCCCTTGTACGCGTTTGAGAGTTGAAGCCAGCCTACGGTGCACTGATTGAATGTCTGTGGAGATAAAAACCGTTTTGCTGATGGATATGAGTCGCGGTGCAAATTGATGACTGAAGAGTTAGAAGATGAATTAATATTTCCAGGTGAATTAATGCTGCATTACAGATGGACAAGAAATGTTTTCAGTGATTAACCAGTTGAGCTTCTCATGGAATGTGTACAGAGCAAGGAAGAAGTAGAGGACGATATCGTAAAAGTCTGAGAATAATACAGTTTTCAAACTGTATACCTCATCTTATATAAACTCACTTTCTATTTTATTTCCTTCTTAATTTACCCCTAATTTTTGTCTTTGCCCAAGATAAGAGAAATTGCTTGATTATTTAGGATAAAATGAAAAACATTTCTATAAAATAGATAACACTTGCACAAAATATAAAGATCTATTCTCAAGCCCAAGAATAATGAATCAGTGTGTTGCTTGACATATGGTTCTATCCAACACGTAGAATGGTACCAGACATTATTTCAGTCATTAATTTTTGTTAAACCAATGGACACTTTCCTTCTATACTAAGGTCCTCCAAACACTCAGTCATTCTGCCCAGGTAAGTATGTCAGGAAGGTTCTGGGATTATGGATGTGATATACTTGCAATTACTAACCTGTTGAGATTTTGTGTTGTAATTTTATATTAGAAAAAGAGGTGCAGGTGACAACACAAAGGGCTCCTGCTCCAGCACCAGGGGGAGTGAGGACCAGTTAGAAGCCCAAACTTCACCTGTATGCAGCCTATTTATGAAGTTAATCCTCACTTGTATCATGCAACTATATAACAAAAAATAAATTTAAAAAAAAACAAAGAAAAAAGAAAAAATAGGAATACAACAGTGCTATGAAAGCAAAATATAATACAGGAGTTAAATTTTGACTGAGGTGTTCTTTTATTATTAAATATATATGCTGCTTTTGAATTCAAATACTACCGTTTGCCTGAACCAGCCTTTCCATGGGCTGGCATGTGAAAGACAAACAAAATCTGTTTCATTGACAAATAACAATTTTAGGCAAAACAGATAAAATTAAGCCTGGGTCCCCTGGCCTACTATAGTCTGGAAAACAAAGCAGTTTTTTCCTGTTGATATCGCAGGTCCCTCATACAGAGTTTTGGTTCCTCCTTTGGAGCGTGAACAGTGAAAATCAAAAAATAAAACCAGAGTGGACTCGGATTAGGAAGAAAAATAAAAAGTAATGAACATGGAGGGACAGGAGCTATTGGAAAGATCTTCCGATGGAAGAGAGAGATGCCCCTTGTCCCATCCGACCTTACCATGAGAGCAAGAGCAAACTTACAGGACATTCCTCTGTGTCATCTTAGCAGGAGACAAAGACATGTACAATTAACAAAGGGGGTTACAGCTAAAAACTCATCTGTGGGCTTTAAGTCAAGTAAGCTTGTCTAGACTGGCAATAAACATAAATGCCTTCAAGAGCCTGACAGATATAGCATAAGGGACGGTGAGGCCTGTGTTAAACCAAAGTATGTGTCTTATTAAAAGACAACCAAAGTCAGTATTGTTTGCTGGTCAAAAGCAAACACACCTGTAGGTCCACAGTCAGTAAACGCGGGTGTTGATGTCTGGTCATTCTAGTTTTTCATCCCATTGGCTGCAAGGGAATTCTCCTCAATCCCAATATCCTAAATCTCTGAAGAACCTGCCACTAGACAAATGCTCCTTTCCTCGTTTCCAAAGACAAACTCGGCCCCCTTGTGGGAGGCAGAAGACATGCAAGCACTGTTCCCATTGAGAACAAGATCTTCTTTGGTACTTGCAGATCAGAACAGGGTTTCTCGATGGCCTGCCTCTCTGTGAAACACCGTGATCTATGCATGGTCTCAGTAGCGTATACGTTTTTGCAGAATAGGTAACCAGATACAGAACACATTTCAAACTTGTGATGGCTGTCAAGGAAAGGGAAGCACAGTAATAGCAATCATGAAAGAAGGCTAGACGTATAAAAGCTTAAAGAAATGATACTATCCCTGATCATTGTCACTAAGATCAATGATTGCC